GTAATTTCATTTAAAGGAGAAGTTCGGTTTTTAACACTTTTAGCCCATTTTCTGTAGTGTCCAGGATGAAATCGAATGATCGACACCAAAATTTTGACAATTGGTCCTGTCTCTGCTTTTTGGCTCATTTAGAATCCACCCCTGGCTGCTTTAGAATGGCTTCCATAGAGCATGTCCGATAATGTCCTTAAAACAACCTTAAACGTTCTTTTTTTAAAATATGCTACTCACCGGGTCGTCAGCGCTGTTCAATGACGTTCCAAAAAAAGTTTCGTAAAGAAAAAACGTTCCTGTAGTGTTTTATTTAGCATTTTGTAAATCCCATTGAGTTTTGTTGGAATAGTCAATATTCCGCTGCCACCGGAAACGGAAATGGGGCCTGTTTACACAGTTGTAGTCTTTTCGCTTCACTCTGTGTACTCCGACGTCGAGAATCAAGAATCCACCTTTCGTATTCCATTTTCAGAGTTTTTTAAAGTGTTTAACAGAGACGTTAGCACCTCGATGTCGGAGTACACAGAGTGAAGCGAAAAGACTACAACTGTGTAAACAGGCCCCATTTCCGTTTCCGGTGGCAGGGGAATATTGACTATTCCAACAGAACTCAATGGGATTTACAAAATGCTAAATAAAACACTACAGGAACGTTTTTTCTTCACGAAACTTTTTTTGGAACGTCATTGAACAGCGCTGACGACCCGGTGAGTAGCATATTTAAAAAAAAGAACGTTTAAGGTTGTTTTAAGGACATTATCGGACATGCTCTATGGAAGCCATTCTAAAGCAGCCAGGGGTGGATTCTAAATGAGCCAAAAAGCAGAGACAGGACCAATTGTCAAACTTTTGGTGTCGATCATTCGATTTCATCCTGGACACTACAGAAAATGGGCTAAAAGTGTTAAAAACCGAACTTCTCCTTTAAGAAGTCAGACCTACCACAGACGGAGGAATACATTTATTTCTGTAAATATGATTAAATAAGGCTCAGAGCAACATTAAACAGTACCAGTAACAATGGGCTCATTTTGAATCAATTACTGCATCAGTGTGGTGTGATCTGATCGACACTGGTTTTTCTGGAGTTTTGAGGAAAACCAGCTTTACTGATATAGATGCAGTCAGTTTGTCTGTATTTTGGATCTGGTGGTTGGATTTGACTATATAATTGATAAACTCTTAAAGTCTGCATTTTTGACAAATATTTTTATAACTAATAAGTTAAAAATAATCCAATTAATGGTTTCAGCTCTAGCCTGGTGTCTCTCATCCTCTTCATAACTATACACTTAGATAAGAAAGTTTACAAGGTTTACGTCAGGCCAGTTTTTACCCAGTGAAGCAACGTAGTGATTAAAGCAGGTATTAGTACGTTGTGCCCAGTGGCCAAATTTGCTTGTGTGTTAGTGTTTTAGTCAATATCACATCACCCGAGACAGAGGAGCACCATGAAAAGGCCAAGAGCTTTAGAGGCCTTGACTACACCACTACTAAGTGCTTTTAAATATGAAATCAGCATCTGGATAAAGCTCTGACTTTGAACTTGATAAAATACAGTCAACCATCAACATTAGTTAAGATGGATCCCACATCACCACTAACTGTGGACTGCAAGCAAGTCTCTGGTTCAGGTTTGGGTTCAAGGTGATGGGACTATTGTGATCCATGCCTTGGATACATCTGCATGTGGTAACACTGAATTTCTTTGTATTTTTTTTTTTATTTTGTTGCATCTCTACATTTTGCTACCACAATTTTTCCTTCCACTTATCTTCCCAATTAACATGCCTAAATACAGAACTTAGTGAACAGTCAGCTTCTGCTGCATTGATCTTTATTGGGGATACCCTGTTTGTCTTCCAGTCAGCAGACATAGCATTACTTCAACCTAAACATCTCTGAATTGGAAATCCCTTTTTGTTATTTTATAATAGGAGCCTGAATGTTGGGTTTTCATTAACTACAAGCCAGAACCATTAAAAGGAACTGATATAAACATTTAAAGTTATTTGCTAAATTTGTAAGGAATCTATTTTATCTGAGAGTAAATTTACATTTTCATAATAATTTAATTAATGAAGTACCTGCATGGATACGTCTCTTTTTTGTGTGTGTTTAGGTAAAAACAACCCTTCTTTCCTTGAAGGCCATGACAGCAGTGAGAAAAAGGAACCAACTGTGGAAAGAAATACAGCTGCATCCATGAGGAAACCCTGGACTACTTCCTTTATACAGAGCATTGAATGTTCTGACTCTCATTTTTCAAACAGCGCATTAGAATATGCTCATGAAACGGTATCAAAATCTTTCTCAAACATATCTGAGCAACAATTGGAGCCTCTCTCTGGGAACTTGAACTTAGCACAGTCAAATTATTGTAATTGCTCAAAATTCGTTGCTGAGCCAAACAATTCTGCTAAGCTTAGTGATGGAGAAAAGAGCAACCAGCAAATCACCATGGAGAGAATGCACCATGCAAGGTAAGTATCGGATTATCATATTATATGCCATAAACCACTTTGATTCTTGTGGATAATGACTACTTTAACTCAGCCTGTCCTTTAGGCTGTGTATTATTGAAGCCCACATGGAGCAGCTGAAAGAGATGAAGCATCTATGTCACAAAGAGGGAGAACTTCTGTGCCAGCAGCATGATTTGGTTTGATCAAATCCACTTCAATTTAAAGCTAAATGAAGACTTTCTTTCATTGGTTTATTATTTTAATTATCATTATTTGTCTTTTAATCCAACAGGTCTTTGTGGAATTTGTCAACAAGCTGGTAGAGATCCTGGACAGAAAGGCTCATAGTGTAAACAACATGAGAGCTCAGCTGATGGCATATCTGAAGTCTAACCATGACACAACACAAGAGGAAGATGAAAATGCTGTTTTTTAAATCAAACTTGTTTTTTAGAAAAATAAATTGAGGAGAATTGTGGGTTATATTGATGTCCCATGAGATAGCTGCAGCCTCATGTCTTATGGGACATCAATATAACAATCAGGAGGAAGCTGGGGTATGTGCAGAAAACATGGAGGTTCAACTAAACATTGTGCAGTTAGAAGTGGCTTTTTTTTTTTTTTTTTTTTTACAAAACAAAAGTGATTGGACAGAAATCAGACACAGAGAGTTAGGCCACTTACTAATACAGCATGTCTAGGAATAATTAAATTGAAAGCTACAAGCCAGGATTCCCAGTTTAACATCAATGTGTAACCTTGCTAATGGACTTATAGAAGAAAATTCAAAGTTTTCTATTTACACATTCTTAAACCTTCTGGACAGCCTCCCCAAAAGAGTTAAATCTGTTATAACTCTATAAAGTGGGCTGACATTACATTAAACCTTGTAGATAAAGGAAGTTCCTCAAGTCTAAATCAGTCTGAAGGTGGTCAATAGCTTTACTAATTTGTTTTGAAAATGTTTTACACTCTTGTTTTATTTTATCCTGCAGCACTATACATCACATGTCTTGCTGCAACTTATGATTATTTTAATGAACAGTTGATCATTCTGAAACATTTTTTAAAGATACAATGCTGATGTTGTCTCTCACATTTTAATCATACTCTGAGTTTGCCCAGAATAGTCCTCCCCAAAAAGTTGTAAACAGTGATGGTTATGTCTGACCAGTTTGCTGGTCAATCAAGTACTGTGATGTGATGGTGATTAAAGCAGCTATTGGCTTTTTCCCACAAGTCTTTTTTGTTACTATCAACCTTCAAAGTGAGTAAAGTTCCTGACAAATAAGTTTACATTGTGGTTTTTAGTACTATAAATAGGTGATTATAAGTTTTTGGTAGAACGTCATTTGTGAGATGAATATCAGATTTGATTTAAAATGGTGACAACTGTGAGTGTCTCTTTAAATAAGACTTTAGTGGATTACATTTGAAAAAAAATTCTTCATTTGATAATTTTTTTATTTATATCAAACATAAAATCAGTTGAATCAATTTCTGACTTTTGTTTTCTTCTGACATTTTGAAAAATATTTGAAAACATAATGACTGTATTAAGGTTTAATGTGATTTTAGTGTGATCTGTTCTACTTAAGTCAAACTGTACATACACACTGTTCAGTTTTCTTATGCAAAATTAGGTCTGACCTTTTAATTTTTACTAAGAGGGCAAAAATATTTTCCTCGCAAACCTTAATTGAAAAATTTGGAGTTTGCTGAGGCATGACTGCCATGTTTAGATCTTAGCATTCCAGAAGACTCCGTTTAGCATGCTGTGGCTTTATTTTAAGGTGAAGTTGCCTAAACAGAAGTAGATAATCCAGATCTAGAAATTTTAAACCCTGGCTAGTTTTCCTTCATCATTGTCACCCAGTAATTGGCCTCTACTCTGTGTTGTTGTGCTGGATGGTTGACCCTAATCTCTGTATAGGCTGTTTACTTTATGGACCTGGATTATCCACCCGTTTAATTTTATTTTTCTTAACAGTCAAGTTGATATCAAATTCTACTGAGATCTCTATAAATATTTTAAAATACTACTAAAGGCATCTTTCCAGAAGGCTCTATCAATCACACTATGTTGTTTCATCTAACTTTCACAGTAAAGAGCTGAAAAAATTTATTGTCCAAGCCCTAAAAATTAAAAGAAAAAGTAAACAGTGTTTTAATTGCGGGAAAATAACGTGATCCATCTGTGTTTAAAAATAGACCTTTTAACTGGAAATGCATGTATGTGTTTCCTGATTTAGTTTAATCAATTAAGCTATAACACTTGACTTTTTTTCAAAAAATATTTTTAAATTACTGTTATATATCGATGTGTCTAAATTTGCTTTAAAAAAACACAGAAAGAAACCAAATTTTAAGATGACACGTAAATGTAGTGACTTTGTTTTAATTTTTGTTAAATACTGAATCACATTAGTAAACACACTCCAAACGGCCACGCTCACGTTGCTGCGACGTTTATGTCATGTGACCTCCTAAATTAATATTGATTGGTCTTCCCGTTTGTTTGTGGAGCGTCGCTTACTTACGTTAAACAACGGCGCGGTGCGTCACGTGACACTATCTGCTGCTGCCTGCTGGCTGAGCGAAGCGTGTTAGCAGGTAAAATAAAGTCAGATTTGTTTAGTGAATGATGATCAGAAACCACCTCAAATTAAAGAACAAATGTTAGCTGGGGTACTTTTGATCATGTTGTCATAGCCTGTGATTAACGTTCATGTGTATAAATTAGTCTGGAACGGGTTATTTGGTGTTTCGCTAACACGCGAGACGCATTCCTAACTGAGCCATTGTGTTGTATTTGGAAAAAGGCCTTTCACATGCCGGGGAAGGTAGCATATATCTCCTCCATTAGTCGTTTTGGCTTAATGAACTACTTGCATTTCCGCAAATTTGTTGGTTTCACGTTCCTTGGAGTAAGATAAATCAAATATCTAAATATTTTTGGGGGGGAGACACGCAACTGCATTTACTTTCGTTTGAAGTGTTAGCCTGCTGCTAATGTTAGCTTTTAGCTCGGGTTTACACAAAGGGGTGTCGTTTCACTTGAGATGTTTCGTTGTTTCCTCCCAGCCTGCCTTTTAATCGTATATAACGGCATTTCGATTATATGACACGTTGAGCAACCGTAAAATACTCTGAAGATATTTGTTAATCTGAACACGACGGTTCATAGGGATGGCGTAGCGGCTATTGGAAGAACAAAGGCAGGAGGTTAGCTAGGCAACAGCCCTTACGGACTCGGCTGAACGTTAGTTTGTAAGTTTCTTTCTTTTTTTTTAATTGTACGTCAAACACCCTATAACGTCAGTTAAATTAAGCTGAGTTATTTCTGCCAGAAAATTGGAAAGTCACTCTGTTAAATCAAATTACGTAGTCTGTATTACGTTTTTTTTTTTCCCCTGCTCATCAACTATACATAAACAGCCGTGACGCAGATTTTTTATTATATTATTGTTTTTACCGTTTTTGAGATAGTCTTCTTCCAAATAATTATTCTGGTTTTATTGTTAACTGGCTGGTCATTTGTGACGTAATCGTTGTTGGTTTTGCGCTTTCGATGTCAGTTTTGAGGGTTTATATCGGTTCACTTTTGTAATGCGTTGAATCTATATTCCATTTGTTCATGTGAAATGTCTTACTGTTAATAGTAAGAGTATGTATTCTCTTTATTATAAACACCGGTTCACACTTACTGTGTTTTTGTGTGGGGAAAAGGTGGGGGTGCTGCAAGATGACACCAGGACAGTCCTCTCTTGGCTGGCTAAATTTAACCAGGGATGTGGGGGGGCAGATAGTGAGGTTATAGTCTTACATGGTATATAACTGTGTGTCAGTCTGCCTATATAGAGTGTACAGCTGTAGTGTGTCGCATTTGCCCAAATGCTTTTTCTTTAAATACATTACTTCAGTTTTACATTTCCCACACTTGTCATTCCAAATAATTTATCTGTACATTGTTGTTTTTTTCCAGATATTTTCTATTTTGTACATTTTTTTTGTATATACTGTATATGATGACTTCTGTGGTCAGCAATCCAGCTCGAGGGACTCGGGATAAGACACTGCCCACAACCACCCAAACAACACAGCCACAAAAACAGATACAGGTGAGATAATTACTCTTTTTCATACTATAAAACATGGAGATCCATCAAAAAGAGGTTAGAACAGAATCATCCCAATTAAAGCTTATTTGGCTATGGGTAACAATCTGTTGGAAATTTCAACATCTGATCCGAAATGTGCCCTATTTAATCCGGATGTAGTCTGCTGACAACACTCTTCAGTGTGCATGCTGTAACTTAAGAGATATTTCAAAGTGAGCTCAGGGGGTGAATTTATTCTGTTTACTTAGAGCTTTATCCACTCTATTGCAGAGCCAGTGTGCTGCCATTTTTGCTGATAAAGTTGTTTCAGATGCATTAAAAAAAAAGTTCACATGACATGTTTTGGAAGAAACCTAAGGATTGTGGAATAAATACCTAAACCTAAATGAATACCTTCTGTTCACTCCCTGAAAGCAAATTAATTTGGTGGATCAGAAACCCAGACCTGGGGTAAGTGGATTTGATATGACTACGTTAAATCAATTAAGTTGAATGTTAAATCTTCCAGTGTATACTTCCTACATTGATGGCAAAAAAGGCAGCATCCTGCTCTGCAGTGTGGTACTCTTGCTTCATTCACAAGAAGTGACAGAAACCTTTAAAGAATATTGTAATATGGCAGAAGTAGAACGCAGTTCCTTTGATTTATCATTTAATCTTCCAGCTTCTGCTTGTATACTTAATGAATCAAACTTGAGGTCTGCCTTACTCTATGAAACACGGGTTACTGCATATAGGTTTAAGGGTTTCCATCCTAATAGCTTATCAGTTTCAGGGATTATTTAAAATGTAAAATTCGTAAACATTGGGTTTCTTCAAAGGTATTAATGCAAGCTTGTTGAAATTTGAGTGCTTCTCCTTTTATCCGATAAGTAAACATCTTCACAAAGGACAGGCCGTCACAGTTTTCTGATGTAATTGCTGAACTCTTCTTCTTTCTTCGCAGGCTACAGCTGAGCAGATACGTTTAGCTCAGATGATCTATGACAACAATGATGCTGACTTTGAAGACAAGGTCAAACAGGTATGTTCATTAAAATATGTCAGATAGAAAGAAAGTAACTTAGCATAGATTCATAATGCTACTTCACGCAAATAACTTTGTTGATTGAACCTAACATCAAATGTTGTTTTGTGCTCCCAGTTGATCGAGGTAACTGGAAAGACCCAAGATGAATGCGTAGTTGCCCTTCATGACTGCAATGAAGATGTAAACAGGGCCATCAATTTTCTGCTTGAGAGCACCTCCGACACAGTAAGAGCCGACGCCGAAACAGATTTATGGATTTTATTTTATTTAGATTCTTTCAAGTTGTCTAACTCGTCTTAAAAAAAAAAAAGTTCTGTTTAAACAAAGAATTCAGAAATTTCTGCATTGCTTTAATCACACATTTAATGCACCATTTTGTACCAATATTTGTTTTGTTTGCTGTTCAGACCTCCTGGGAGACTGTGGGAAAGAAGCGTAGTATTGGTAAAGAGGGAGGAAGCTCAGATTTAAAAGAGAGCCGTGAGAAGAAGGGAGATCGTGAGGCCAGCCGTGGACGTGGAGTGTCCAACAGGAGAAGCAGAGGAATCAGCCGTGGTCGTGAAGGTAGGAAATGATAAAATAGTGCCAGAGTATTGTTGAATGTGTGTATATTCATAAAGTCGCTTTATTTTCCCCATTTTGTTTCTGGTTAAATTATAGGTCGTTCAGAGGAAAATGGGTTTGAAATGACTCCTGTTGAGAGAGGGGCTGACCGTGGGCGCCGGGGTCGGGGCAGAGGTACACTCCTTAGTTGATTGTTTGGCTTACCAATCTTACTAGACCAACAGCACCAATTATAAAATCTTCAGTCAGAAATTAAGGCTGAAGGATTCTAATTATGCCCTTACATTCTTTTTCCTCCCCAGGAGTTGGGGGTCGTGGAAGAGGAAGGGGAGCTGTCGGAAACAGGTTTTCTTCACAAGGAATGGGGTGAGACAATATATTACATACTTAAATCTTTAGTTGTGTTGAGTTTAGTGATAGCGATACTTCACCCAGACAATATGTGTATTTTTCTTGTATCGTTCAGCCGATACATGCACTGATTTATTATGCACTGAATCAGAGCTGCACAAGTTGACTGATGTTGAAATGATATGTGACAGAATCGCCCTAAACTGATCTCTAATCGAGATGTTGTTGATTACAGTGACAAACAATTAATTTTTACCCCCCAGAACTTTTAATCCTGCTGACTACACCCCGAACTCCAGGGGAAACCAGGACAGATTGGAGGGGAATGAAACTGCTGAGGGTACTGGTAAATAATATACTATGAATTAAGCAACCACATTCTGCTTCTGTTTTTGCAACATTTGCTTCTTTTTCTTGGCTATTTCAGTTTCTTTTTAAGTAGCATAAATTCACTGTTCCAGATCCAGACGACAAGTTATAAACTTCAGCAAGTGCTCTAATGTACAATTGCAGTCCTCAGACCACCTTTCGTACAGCTTTTAGAGACCTCATAGTTTCTTCACATTTGAAGGACAGCATGGCAAATTAAGGAATTCCAAAACTTGATCAAATGCTAAGATCCTAATTGGGCTATTTGATTAGGCCTGTCACGATAACAAGTTTTGCAGAAAGATTGTCTCAAAAATTATTGCGATAAACGATAATATTGTTTCAAGACCTTTTTACACTGATTTAATGGAAATGACGTAATAATGCATGCATTTTCCTGCCAAAGATAAGCACACTTTATTTTCAACAGAACACTTAACACTGGAACTGGTTAACAAAATAAAACGAGAAATAAAAATTAAGCAAACTCTCAGTCTCTGTTAACTTAAAATACACTTGAATAAAAACTAAACACAATATAAAACCACAGTGAAAATAAAAATATATATATATATATACAAAATATCACGTTGGTGATATGTATGTTTTCTGGGGAATACTGTCTATCAAATGTCTGGAACATTTTTCGAAATGCCGGCTTTTCAACAATATTAAATCGAAGCATCTCTTTAGCAATTAAATGAACTACGCTGTCTGTGAGCGCGCGCCACTTTGCGCCATCCTTTTTGTATGCTGCCTGTCGATTAATTGCTTCAGTGATGGTGGACTGTCACAAACTTGTACACCGCTTGTACTTTTTGTTTCCAGCTGGAGAAACTTTGCTGGGTGGTTGTGCTTAAGGTGCATGTGTAGGTTGGTTGTATTGCTGCTTAGTTGCTACTGTTTTATGACAAATGCGACATACTGGCTCACATAGGTTCAGCGGTTCGGCTCTGTCATTAGGTTTGAATCCGAAATACTCCCACACTGCGGCTGTTGCGCTCGGCTTTCAAACCATTTCCATTTCGAGCCCCCCCCCCCCAAAAATAAGATGTGGGTTTTTTTTTTTTTCTCGCTAACTCCTCACGGGGCTCTAAAGCTGCAGAAGTACAAAATGATGCGCGCTGACTACCTGATATGATAGTCCACTCCTCCTCCCTCCTCAAAAATGAGGAAAGGGAGGGGTCACTAGATGGCACCGGAGTTAAGCCTTTTCATCCAGCGTCATCAATAGGAGAAAAACACAGGCAGAGACGATATAGCCGATAAATTAAATGAGGTGGATCATTTTTATTTATCGTGCGATTAATTGATTTATTGATTATCGCGACAGGCCTATATTTGATTACTCTTTATTTACTCTTCTAAAAACTAGATTTTAGTGGCTGTGGTCTGGAATTTGTGATCCCTGCATCTAGTTAATGTGGAAATGATGGAATTTAATCTAAACATACACTTGACCGCTTGTTGTTTCTCTGCCTCCGTCAGGAACATGGCGTGCCAATCTGGAAGAGTGGACTTCAGAAGAATGGAATGAGGATGTAAGGGTTTGATTATAGATGAGAGGAAAATTGCAAAACTGAAATGCAACCTAAAGATGCATTTTTTTTGCCATTGATATTGGTTTAAAGGATCATTTTCAGCAATGTTTTGGCATACTTTAAACATTCTGCAAAAGCTTGCGAAGCTTTGGTATTTTTAAATGCCTGCCTTTACTGTTTTGTAAAAACATGTAACATCCATAAAAGCATAAAAAACTATATAGTTAACCCAAGATGTACAAACACTCATTCATAACACAGTCCTCTGAAGGGTTAAACAACACAACAAAGCACTGAGGCTTATAATTGGCTTGTAGGAAATGTATTGTGGTAGTCAATTCCTTTTCAGTCTTTGCTACTTTGAGTAGGTGAGTAAGATCTACCAATGAAATGACTATTTGTAGCCTTAAAATAAGATGGCGTTTATGTACTTGAACTAAGGGTCGTAGTTGATTTCTTAATTGAAATGTAAACTGTTTTATTCCGTTGACAAGCGTCTCGCTTACCTGCTCAATTCAAGAAAAATGCTCTTTGACTTTTTATTTTTATTGAGAAATTTGAACATCACCTTACAAAAACAGTACAATTGGGATGGGATTCCCATAGGAATTGGAAATCCTAAAATCTTTTCATGGCAACTATGCACCTTGGAAAACATGCACTTATTGTAAGAAAAATTGGTGTACTTAGATTTCAGTATTTTACAATGTGAACCATGTCAACAAAATAAATCTCCTTATGCTCTTTCACAGTTGTCTGAGACCAAAGTGTTCACTGCCTCTTCAGCTCCAGCCAACCACATCACAGCTGGACACAAGTAAGTCATTAGGGGTCTATTGACCTTGAACAGATAAAAAAAATCAAAACTGATCTCTTAATCACTTCTCTCCGTTTCCTGCATTGGCTCAGTGTGGACCTGGCTAGCATACTGCCTAAAACTGGAGTGAGTGTAGGAGGTTCTGTGGACTCTGACTTGGGAGCAATTGTTGATGGTCCTTCAGCAGAGGATTTGGGCCAAAGCCTGGTGTTCACCAACTCCCACCACAATGGACGAACTGCAACACACAGCTACGCACATGCCACAGCCAACAGCTACGCTCATGCCGCCTCTGCTAGCACCACATATGCACATGCAGCACTGGTACAACTTACTCTTTCTCTTAAACCTATGTCTCATCAATATTACTTCTGTGGTACCATTGTAGTAATTTTGTATTTCCTCTGTTCTGCTCCAAGTCTTCAGTCATAGGTTCTGGTTTTGGCTCCCTGAATGCACCTAAGCAGGGACCAGCTGCGGACGTTGGCATGTCTGAGACACTTAATGGGCCCCGGCTGCCTCAGAGAACCAGTCAGATGTTGGCAACTGGCAGCGGCGGTGTCTCCAAAGACCCAGGACAGCCTCCAATACAGAGTCCAGCTTCTGCTTCCTCACCTACTGCAGATACGAAGTCTCTGAGGGTGGAAAATGGCCCAATTCTATCCCAAAACTGTAAGCCCCTTTTTAAATTAATAAATACATTATAAAAACTATCTATACTATCTGCTGTGTGTGTGCTCTGTATGATGAAGTCACTAGATCGACAAATTGTATTGCTATTTAGATATCAGTTTATTTATTCATTAGATTTTTAAGCTCAGTTTGCCATCCCTAGAAAGTTTTCTCAGCTATAACAATATTTATTTCTGTTTTCTGAAGTGGAAATGAAACATCAGCCAGAACCGTCTGCAGTGCTCAGCCAGCTTGCTCAGAGGCAGCAGCAGTCCTCCATGGTGCCCACCACAGAACCCCCAGGCCTGTCTCAGTCACACGCACCACAGGCCCCCACACCACCAGGTACAGTTTGAAGCTGTTGAGTAAGTCAGTGTTAAGTAGGGATGCCCTGACCCAATAATGATGATGGAAGTCGGTCCAAACCAAAATTATCATAAAGGGTTGCATCCAAAAGCTCAGATATAGGCAATTTAATACTCATCTCTGCTTTTGTTTAAAATTTATGTAAAATATCACTTAATAGGTAATTAATTGTTATTCTCATTCCTACTTTTGTTGACTGTTATATTGTTGAATAATACCATTAACATCCCACCATGAAAATTTTGTCATAAAAATGTGTGATTTGTGCTTATGTCAGTATCGATTTGGGAAAAATAAAGGTTGAAACATAAAAGGTTGTATCAGGACATCTCTAGTTTTGAGAAGATGTCTTGTACTTGAAGATAAAGCAATATAAAAAACATGGCCCATATTTTTCTTTTTAATGCAGAAACACAACAATATCCCCAGCTGCAGTTTTAAAAATCAAAAATTTATTATAAGAGTGGTTTCTAACAACTGTTAACAATTAGACATATATAAACAATAGAAAATAGAACAAGTGGAATTAAAAAATTTTTTAAAATTATATAAGTATTATTTCTCTTTAAATGCCAGCCTGTAGTGCATTGTGCTTCTAACTTGGATAGATCAGCTTTCAAACTGTGCTGCCTCAATGAGAGGGTTGGGTAAAGCTTATACAGTTTTCTAACTCTGTTATTGAGTTCAATTCTAGGAGGATTGGCTTTAGGTGCCCTACACAGTGGTTCACACTTTAACACTAGAACTCCCACAGCCGTCATTTTGACGGTTCTGAGATTTTAAAGGGAAAGAAATATACTTAAATTAATCTTATGTTGCTCATGTTAAATGACTTTTTCAATTTCCATATTTCCTTCATTTTCACATAGTTTTTTTTAAATAAAATTAAAACGTAAAAAATGAATATGGTTAATTCTACCTCAATCTCCCACAGCCATCATTTTGACGGCTCTATTAGTTGCATTGTAAATTCGTGCCGCGGTTGATTGATGTTCGTTACCGTTGCCTAGTAACCAACATTCTACCGAGAACTCTTTGGCCAACACGGGAAAAATTGCTTTCAGAAGAAATTTAACAGCGAAACAAGCTTTAGAAATCCTTCAATATAATTTTGATGGTGATTTTGGCGGAGTGGGACAGACCGATGAGGAGGACTGGGTAGGAAGCGGCTCAGATTCTGACAGTGAGTCCGAGGATGATCACCCAGCCCCGGGAAAACGCAGACATATCAGACAATAGTGAAACTTTTGTTCAAGCACTGCCCACACCTCAGCTTTTACACTCAGCAGCCCTAAAGCCAAACCAGAGCCCATAGTCTACTATAACCACACACAGGTCGGGGTGGATGTGTTGGATCAGATGATTACAAGGGATTCTGTAAAAGCTCCGATGTGAAGGTTGCCTATGGCTGTATTTTACTATATGGAAACATCAGCTATAAGTGCATTGGTTTTTTTCAGGAGCAGTTTGAATGTCACTTTTTTCACGCAGAGATTTTATCCTTGAACTGGTAAAACAGTTGCAGGCAAACCGCAGGTTTCCAGCACCTCCGCCGCTGAAGAGCAGCTTTGGCAAGGCATAGAAAACGCGCCAGGTGCTTCAGCGCTGAACAAAAAAATGCTCATATTACGTTTGTCGTAAATGTGAAAAAGTGGTCTGCGGGAAATGTTTGGGGGGAATTGATCAATTTCTGGAAATAAAAATGTAATTTCAAACTTTGAACCTGTGTAGTAAAACAGTCTTACTCTACGGATTTATTTTTAATACAACTTTAGAACACAATAATAGCATACAATACAGCCTTTGAAAAGTATATATTAAATTTGTTTTAAGGTTTACGTATCTACAATAGGTTTATATCGCACACTAGAACCATTTCAGTTGATGACATCATCACTACTCATGCGTTTCATTGGGAAAAATGTCAGCCGTCACATTGACGGCCAGTGGGAGTTCTAGTATGATCAGAATTCTGGGAGTCCCAGTGTTAAAACCTTTTTTTTTTTTCTGGTACCACTGTAAAATAGTTTTGTCTAATTCTGTGCTATTTCAGCCTAAAAAATAAATAACAGTAAATGGCTTTAGCAGCTTTTGTTGGTGGGATCATGTCTTGTGTCTTAATTTATTTATTTTTTTTTTTAATCCTTGTGTTGGGAGTCCTATTTGTATTGTGTCTGATTAAATTTTATTAATATCAGGTCAAGAGTCCTCTGGCCTCCCTGTAAGAGACGGATCTTCTCCAGGAAGCAAGCTGCCGGGCCTGGAGCTTTCAGCCACTGATCCCCCTCAGCGACAGTTAAAGACTCAGCGACGCAGAGCTCCCCTTCCATCAAAGGTAAAACATATGGACTCTTTATTCTAGTCAATAAGATTATTACATAAATGATGGAGCATGAAGTTAACTTGTACTTTTGTATAGAGGAGATGGAAGGCAGTTTCACAGACTTTGGTTTATTCTAGCTCATATCAACTTGATATTTTCCCCTGTTTTCATTTTTATTTTTTACCATTGCTGCAACTAGGAGTACATGATTAACGCCGGTGTCTGGTTACAGTCTTTTTCTACAACACATTTTTTCTGTGTCTCAGATTCCAGCTTCAGCAGTGGAAATGCCCGGCTCAGCAGACATCTCTGGTCTGAATGTTCAGTTTGGAGCTCTTGACTTTGGATCTGAATCTGGCAGTGTAACAGCAGACTCTAAGACAGAGTTGGCCCGTGAGCATACGTCCACCTTGGCTCAGGCAACCATGCCTTCTCCTGCAGCTGTTCCCACACAAGCACAGAGCATCATGTTCCCCAAGTCAGGACCCGTTAGGTACGAGTTTTTTTTTTTTTAGGCAATCCTTGTGGATAAGAGGAACAACACAGGTTGTTGATCCAGGTCCAGTAGTAATGAGTGCAGTTGATTTCAGGCCATTGGTTCAGATATGTAATAATCCCATCTGTCCTATACATAAAAGGTGGTAAATCCTTTATTTGAATCGGTTTCATACTAGCTATTGACAAGTGATGCAGATAACAGAAGCTTTTATGTTCCTGTCAAAATACACCATCCTATTGTACACAGCAAAGCAGTGCTGTAACTATTAGCCACTATAGGCACTAGACCTATAACTTCCAGATTTAGCCCCCCTAAAAGCCACTGGTAATAATCTAATAGTAGAGCACTTTGAAGCAGCAGATTAAAGTCATGGAGGAACATGTAAAGACAAGGCCACATTTGACTCTGTAGATTAAATCCTACATCAGAGAAACTATATGTCTGATCAAGTGATTGTCACCTCTGTATTGTTGCTTAACAACAGCGTTTAATGGGACTGGCTCAGACAAAGTGCTCTGAGTTACACAACCCTTTCAGTGACTGATCTGACCCTCGTAGGTTACATGGCAGAGTTTTTCTGTAAGAGCAGCCCATGTGACATATAGATACGCACCAATGGGTGTATGTATCTACCTGAAAAATCATTTCCTAGATCTTAAAAAAAAGCTAATGCTTGTGTCAAATATTCTTAAATTCAAGGAAGTCATTTTATTTTTTTGCTTGCTTTTTCTATACATTCTTTAATCACTTGGGAATCTTTCATTAGATGTTTGCTGTTACAATAATGTTAGAGCAATGATGGTGTGTTTTCTGGTATAGAGACAAAAAGCTCTCTGGCCACTTGCTGACTCAGCTTGGCTGACAAGCTTTTTAGGAATCGTCTTTTGATCAGAACACCTCTGTCTTCAGAGGTTGCACTCTGTCTGCTGGCACCATACTAAATAAAATTCAGCTTATTGCCCTAATTTCTCTGATTCTTGACAATTTTGCACTAGTTAGATCCCTGGTAAAGGTCTGGTATCCATTATAATCTATAGCAGAGTTATTAATGTACCATAATGTTTAGGCATTTTTTCCCCCCTCAGATAATTAAATGCTTTAGTTCATTATTCTGAATCTTTATTTATTTTCCTGGAGGAGCACAAACTGTTTATTTTGACTTGTATATGGGTGAGTGAAGCTTCTTTTCAAGGGTTGATTTCAGTGAAATGCATGATTCTGTTTACTCATGCCATGCTATATTTCCCGCAATGGAGAAAAAATGTAATCTCTTCAAACCATATTTTTTTTTATTAAACATTTTCTTCTTTCTAGGTGCAGCTTCACATTGCGTTGTTGCAGCAGTATAGAGATGAGTTACTTCCTTTGAGCTGCTGTGTTATAATAAAACATTGGTACCTGTTTATATAGTGTTTAAACAAAGAACCTTATTAGAGGGCTTTCAGAAAGGACACGGCGCGAACACAATATACACAATGGCATCCTCCAAGCCAAGTGCCGCACAAGAAGTCCTGCACACGCTGCTGTAAAAGTAATGCTGGATTTTGCGGTGCGCAGACAATGAAAGTGGCTAGCACAGCGCACACTATGTTCTGTAGGTTAGGCCCAATTAATTAGTTACCTTTTTAATTTAGTTAACATTTTAATACAATTTTCAGAATGTATATATTTATCTAAACTGTTTATCTCTGCAGTAACTTTCCCCACATATACGTTTTAATTTTAGAATTTTTTTCCATATATTGTACAGCCTTGCCTCATTTATCCTCTGTTTCTCAGAAAATTCTCCTGTCCTCTTGTTCTTACGAACAGTGACCACATGAGCAGCTTGCCTTCAGCCATATCAGATGCCAACTTTCCTTCCCCTTCTTTGGGCCTGCCTGGTGCTACTCCCTCCCCTTCAATTGGTCTCCCCAGTGCAGCAGCTCCACAGCCCTCTTCCGTCCCAACTGCAACCAGCCGAGTGGAGAGCAGTGGCTCGAGAACTTTGCCTCCTCATCTTGGCTTCTCACAGAGCAAAGAGGTCCCATCAGGTGGTTCTGCTCCTCTAACTGTAAGTATAAGTATTTTAATCTTTGTTAGTTCGTAAAGCTTTTGATTGGCAAATGTTTAATTTACACCCCATCTGTTATAGAATGGCTACAGTGTCATGAAGACACAGACTACACAAGAAAGTACGTACTGCTCTTTTATAGATACTATTAAAAAAGTTTATCTTGAACACCAGATAAAATTTTCGTCTTTTAAACCAGGTGCTTCATCATCTAGAACAGTGAAAACAGAATCTCCTGTTATGACAAGTGATGGTGGATCTGGACACCATATTCCTTCTCCTGTAGTCACACCATCCAACTCTGCTCCAATCTCATCCCTCAGCAGGTAATGGTTGGCTCACTCCTACCTTTAGTTGACATGGAGATAATGATGGTTACAAGCACATATCCTAATCCTATAATGTGGAGAAAAATAATCTCTGAATCTCCAAACTTACACATCAAGATTTTGTTAAAACTGTGAATTGCATTTGGATCATATTATTGAACTCATTCTCTTTGTAGTCACATAAACAGTACTCACTCATCCGGAACACCTCTTGTCACAAGTTCTTCCCTCACGGTAAGCTTCCATGTATGTTCAGGCAACAATGAAAGAAACATTTTTTTTACACCTAAATGTCTTATGTTCCTGATCATATTCCTTTATGAACCAGATAACCAATGAGGAAAGTGGCAACAGCAGCAGTCTTCATGCATTTTCATCATCGAGCCAAATTGTCACTCCTAGTGCGCCTACGATCGTCAGTAGTTCATCCTCCAATGGTCTTTACCAATCAGGAGGACCAGGACTGGCTCAGAATGGTGCAAACACCACAATCTCAGCTGCAGGCAGCCGCAACACCACACAACTCACCACAACTTCTGGTACATTCATACATTTATAGACCTGGATTACTATTTTAAATTGGCTGTGTTTTTTTTTTTTTTTTTTTTTTGTCCATCAAATGCCAGATTTTTATATTTTTTACCCATATTTGTTTTATTCTAATCCATACATACAAGTTTTTTTTTTATTTTTATGAAATAGGTATTTATGGATGAGTACTTGTATTTATTTATTTTATGTTTCTCCCCTACAGGTAAAGCTCCTCCTAATTTAGCCCAAGGAGTGCCTCCACTTCTGGCCAACCAGTACATTATGGGTCCTGGTGGCTTGCTTCCTGCTTACCCGGTAATTTTGTTTTCCTAATTCTCAGTGCCTTATCTTTATTCACTTAAACCAACAATAAGTACCTTTTCAACCTTCATATATTTTTATAACTTTTGTGGTTATATGTGGACTTACAACAGTTGTATTGACACCTCTCTGATGGCCTGATTGGGTCTGTGTCGCTTTCAACGGCACTAAGCAACATTGAGTCAAATTTACAGGCTGATTTACGGCATGTAACTTTCCCAATTTTTTATAAGGATGGGAGTCAATGCGATAAAATTTGCCTTAGAGACTGTATGTTCAAGCAAACTGCACAGCTGGGGGAGTGCAGGAATACTGTACAAAACCAAAGTGAAACTATTCTTTTTGTCAAAATAGTATTTTTAGAAAGTGCTTAGTTTCTCCCTATTGTCCATTCTGATTTTAACCCCCATGCTTCTCCATGCTTGCAGCAGCTGTGAGAGTGTGCATATGCGGGGCAAGGGTAGTTTAGAGAGGGCTCTCTGAGGGGAGGGGTGGCATGGAGCAGCTCATGGAAAGGGAGGGGCAGAATCGACACACGGCAGAAGTTTCTTTTTGCTGTTTGCAAAAAGTAGAATTTTTATATCGGCCACATTTTGGCCAATGAATGAGCCAGACGCTAAAATCAGCCCAATAAGTCGGCCTGCAGATTTATCAGCAGCCTCTAATAACGATGGACAGTCACAAGAATAATTATAAAGCTCACAGATGTTCATTATCTGATCTGATCTTGAGCTAATTAGACAGGTCTCGGTGTACCAAAGAGGGAAAGGCTCACTGTTTGTATTTGCTTGTATTTGCAGAAATTATGGTTTCAGGAAGTATTTATTCAGAATACAAATAATAAATCCCACTCTATAGTTTTTGTGAACATTTTAAAAATGTAATCCTCTCTGAAAATGCGGTTTTAATTTCTCAGAGCAGAGTTTTAGTGCCTGTTACAGGAAGCTTCCTGGAGTTTTTCCCCTAGATATATCACCTATATGACAACACACTAATCTACTACTTATCCTTTATTTCTTCAGCAAATCTATGGATATGAAGACTTGCAAATGCTGCAGTCTCGACTACCTTTGGTGAGTCAGTTTTTCTCACTATTGGCGCTTCTCCCTTACCAAGTTAGAACCTAATTAAAATTTTCTGCTAAACGCTGCTCTAATATAAGCAATACGATCCCTATACAATCTTTAATCCATGAAAGTCACATAGTTTTAACGTGTCTGAAATTGAGGCTTATTTTTGCAAAATGATTCTTTATTTCAACTTGACAAATGTGAAATTTGTTCTTATCCTGTTCAATTTCACCTTCACCATTTCCATGTCTTATATTTAATATTCAGTTTTTGCCCATACATTAGTTTCTATTTTTGGTTGTGATATTGGTTCTTTGCTAGTCTTGGGTCTGTTTTACCTGCTCTATTTTTAAGCTACCCGACCAAATCCCTTTTTACTACTCATAGTAAATTGGTAGCACCAAAGACTTGTAACCTCAGTTTATCAGCGTGACAATACTAACCGTATCTCTTTGTTTAAATATATGCTCAATCTTTTTTTTTCCTTCATCACACACACTAGACAGCAATTCAGCTGCACATCAATCTGTCTCTACTGACATCCTGGCCACTGTTGTTTGATAGTTAAAGGACTATTAAGTTTATGATTGTTTATTTCATGCTAAATGCATTTACAGTTTACTCTCTTAACTTTTCTTTTTTTTTTTCTTCATAAGGATTACTATGGTGTTACATTCCCTGGTGCTACAGCTCCAATCCCTGGTAGAGACAGTTTAGCTAATAATCCATATTCTGGTGAGTAAAATGTGGTTTGAAAAAGAGCTTCAACATCTTTCTACCAATGTACCCGCTCCTATTGCTCCTCTCCATGTCCAAACCATGTCAGCCTGGCTTCTCTGCCTTTATCTCTAACATGCATAAAAGTTCTACCTTCATTTTACACTTCAAATTCTTTACTTGTACTCTATAGTTATAAAGTAGAAAAACTTTTTAAAATCTCTGTAGGTTCATTAAAAGTAAAAGAAAGAAAATTCTGTTGATTTTAGACAAATCTTTAGAAAATATTTTTTTTATAAAGTAAAATCTATCCATGTGGTCAGATATATATTTTGCAATTTTTTTAACCTCATAAGGATTTTTTTTTTAAATGTTCCTGTATTTTTTTATTTTTTTTTTTCTTTCAGGTGAGGCAACGAAGTTTGGCAGGAATGACTCTTCTTCCCCAGCCCCCCCGACCAGCCTGTCTACAGCAGGAGTGCAGTCGCAGCCCCAACAGACCCAGCAGACAGGGACTCAAGGACAGGGACAGGGTCAGAACCAGGGTCAGCAGACACAGAACCAGGCCTTCCTCAACCCCCCTCTGCCACCTGGCTACGGATACACTGGTAAAGAAAACAAACCTGGCAATGGATCATTTAACACGTCCTCTACCCTAAACATTTCTTGATCTTTTAAAACTAGAAATGAATAGAAACATTTTAAAACGCACTGTGCATTTTAAAAATGATATACTGATTTATTTATTTTTTTATATATTTTTTTTTATTCTGTGGCTAAAAAGAACATTAGAAAACCAGTAAAACGATGATCATGGAGCTGAGATAAGAATACATTTAGACCAAAGCATTGCAGTTCAACTTTATAGACGACAAAGATCAGTGGTCTATCGGTAGTGAAAGAAGGCAGATATCTTCGCATTAACAAGAATGAGTGAGTCCAACCAACCCAACAAGTAGCATTCATGTGGTTTGCATTAGTTTATGCTTCTAGTAATCCATATCTACACCCATACAGTCGATCGATAGACTTAATTGATCTCAAAGTGGAGAAATTGACTAGTTCTACTCTGCATTTTTACTGGTTATCCTGTAATAAATGATATCCACTAATCTTTAGGGGACCTGCATACAGTTTTTGGGAAATTTTGAAAAAAAATATATTGGTAGTATTAAGTTTGACAGAGAGGCTGTCTTTAAAAGAAAAGTCCGGATCATTATCTATACCTAAAACTAATACGTTCACGGTGATTTAATGAATTTGGCGTTTATTAAAAAAATTTAAATAATATTCTTCATGATCGCTGAGTGCCGGAGCGACTGTTTTTGCCCAAATATAGTAACACCTCACTCCTCATATCTTCCGGCAGTGGCATCATGGTGCAGTAAACCGGGCGCCATTCTCTCTGCTTTACAAGCAAAATCAATGGGAACTATGAGGCACATCAGCAATCAACAATTATTTTCACCTTCACCTTCTTCACCTTTGAAATTTGCGAGATCATAGTTAAACTGACAATGCCTATGTGCATGGTGGTTGGATGTTGTAATACAATGGGTAAAAATAAAAAAAAAACATTACTTGGATAATAGCGCGTTGTGACAAACACCAGATACAGCATTGGGACTTGATTAACAGACGATAACGCACCGTGACGTCATAAACTGGTAGGTGGAAGTAGTGCTCTTCAAAAAACATGGATGTCTCCAGTAAAGCACATTCAAATGAAAATTACTCTTTATTAAAATGGGTATCATTAATTGAATGGTATGTAATCATTTTATATTTAAAGTACTTGCAGAAGTTTGGATTCTGAATATGACCGTACTTCTCCTTTAAAGCTGTACCCTGATTAATATTGAAACTGTTCTGTACAAGTAAAATGTAGGGTTTGAAATGGTTTAGTGCTGCAGTCCTCTTGTCCAAATATAATCATTTTAATATTGATTGAAATAAAACTAAAATAAAATTAAATGAAAATGGCAAACATTGTACTTTTTGAAAGAATGAGATTCAGGCAGTCAATGGTATTTTGGGTAGTGGATTCTTTTAAATCCAGTACCAAGCATTGTTTTTGTCCCTCTCTACTTGCTTTAGGTCTGCCGTACTATGCTGGCATGCCTGGTGTTCCTTCAGCCTTCCAGTATGGCCCCACCGTGTTTGTGCCTCCAGCTTCTGCCAAGCAGCCTGCCATGGGCTTGGCCAACCCCTCCAGTCAGTACCACCAACAGCATCAGCCAAGTTATGGGCAGCATGCCTACGGTGCAGGTGGGACACTCCTAGGTTTATTTTTCAGCTGATAGTCTACAAAGCCCATACTTTAGTTAACCTAAAACTGAGTGTAGCGGTGACTCTTTCTAATGGCTAATATGTAATCCAAAGTCTGTTGAGGAAGAAGGAAACATTGCTGCATGTGTGTGGCCTGTGATTTTTTTTTTTATTTTTATTTTATTTTTTTGCCTATGCTGCTTGCTTAGCTAAAATCCACTCCCGAAGTTGAACATATAGTCACGCTTCCCATCATTGTCAGGTTACCTTATCTTACTCTGAACTGCCCCCATCCCATCTTCCTCTCCCATCTATTTTCCTCTTCATGTATTTTATTGTTCATCTCCCTTCTCCTCTGATCCCCTCCCCTCTTTTTCTGTCCTCCACTGTTCCTCGTCCTTCAGCTTTTGATGACCTGTCCCAAGCCCATGCTGGGGAATACAGTAAGACAGGGTATGGCGGCTCTGCCCAGTCACAGGCAAAATCAGCAGGCAGCGGCCCAGGGAAAGGTACACACTACACGTGCATACTGAAACACTTTTCACTTGCTGTAGTGGAATCACGCGACACAGCAGCTAATTGCAGGGAGTGGGGAAAAACTGAGGTGTCGTGCCTCTGCACCTCCTCACCTAATCTGCTTCTTTCTGCGGGCTGGCGTCTGTAATACTAACATGGAAACAGACATTTAAAATTTACTACTAAACAATGAACACATTTCACTGCAGTTTTAATTGAAAGATTTCTTTTTCTCTAATCTCTCAGCACCTGGATTATCTGGATCAGGAACTGGTGGTGGAGTTCCTGACATGGGTGGTTCGATATACAACAAAACACAGGTGTGTTTTTAATGTTTATTGATGTTTCTTCTGTTTGGGCTTATAAGCTTTTAGTGATGTGGAGGATAGAGGGTTGGAGCATTTAGGGCTTTTGACAGCAAGTTGGGCAGGAGTAAGATTTTTCTTTTAATTTTCTCAAAACAAGGGCAGATTGTACAAACAGAACTTTAAATCATTCAAGTATTTAAAATAGGGGGGGTTACATTTGATTTCTTTTTTGAAAATTGTTTTTTAAATGAATTCTAAAGTGAGTAGCCTTAAGATGTCAGATCCAGAAACATCAATAACACTGGGTTACAGCCTCAGAGGCTTAACAAACTCTGAAGGGCTAAAGAAATAATAGTTGTTTCCTTTGGAGAAAGCTAAAAATATGAGTGGCAACTGACCATTATGGTTCACATTAATATATTCATGTCCTCTTTGCAATTCTCTGTTTCAGTCGTTTGACAAGCAAGGCTTCCATACAGGAACTCCACCTCCTTTCAATCTGCCCTCAGCACTGGGAGGGACGGGCCCCATGAATCCTGGTGGAGCTCCTGGCTACGCTCCAGCTCCTTTCCTGCACATCCTGCCTCCACACCAACAGCCCCACTCCCAGCTGCTGCACCATCACTTAACACAAGACGGACAGGTAAACGATGACTACACTTAAAAAAAATATGTAAAAAATCTCTTGGCTGAACAGGACTTCAGATGAAGCACATGCTTTTGAACGGGAGCTTGAGCTGAACGATTATTTTGGGCTTTGCAGGGTGGTCCAGGTCAGCGCAATCAGTCCAGCAGTATGCAGCAGAAAACCCAAGGCAGCAAGTCCAGCTACGGCAGCTCTCCCTACTGGGCAAACTGAGGAATGCTTCCCACCTCCCATCCCCCCAAAAGGCTGCGTGATTGCATGAGAGCGTGTGTGTAAATTTGAAATAAAACACAGGGGGGGAAAACCAGGCACACTACCCTTACAATGAGCATTATGCTCTCCCCACCTCCCCAAGTCCTCATAAGTCTTTTGGGTTCTCTCTTCCCCCTTCTTTTCAAAATTGGTTGTACATGTAAGATATTTATGTATGTATTTATATATAAATATATATATACTGTATATGTAATAGTAGAACATAAAGTGGTTGCCGCATTTTATTTTTGAAGGATGTTTTGTTTACTTTTTCAAAACTGCAGGAAAAATTGTTACATTACCTAATATTAGAGTGAAGATAAATAATGATCCGATCCTCCTGGAAGAAAAAGGAAAAGGAGAGAGCAGTAGCACTGATCACATATGAGGACATTTCAGATGGGGGTGGGGTTTCTAATGACTAACTGCATCTGTCTCTTTATTTTTTTCTTTTTTTATACATGTCTAAGTCATCCTCTTAGATTTATTTGGTTTCTTCTCCAGCCTTTCTCCCTCTGTCCTGGAAGCTGCCTTCCCTCCATGTGTATACCTCCCCTTTTTAAAAACTACAGACCAGACCTGCCCAACCAAATTTTATATGTTAATTTAATTTTAACCCTTATTTCTCTCAAAATAAAGTTCTGAGCAGTTAGAGTTCCAACCTTTTTGCCTTGTCTTATTTTCGTGGTTGCCAGTTTTCACATTGGCTTTAGTTGTAAATACTTTGGACTTCCTAGAAATCAAACATGGAGTGAAACTTTAGATCAGGCATCCCCTGATTCAGTCCTTGAGGGCTGCCATCCTGCAGGTTGTAGAGGTTTCTTTGCTCCAGCACAGCTGATTTTTAACTGAAAGCTGATTAACACGCTTTTCATCCACTGCAATCATAATCGGCTGTGCTAACGAAGGGAAACTTCTAAAACCTGAAGGACAGCGGCCCTCGAGGCCCAACTTTGGGGATGTCTGCTTCAGATATTGGAAACATTTGTCATGCCTTAATTAGAATAAGTCAAACCACCTGTGAGAATACCTGGGTCTGCAAATCAGTGGCCCCCAACCCTACTCTTCAGGGACCCTTGTCCTTCATATTTTAGGCATGTACTTGATGCCAGATATTCTGGACTATGAATTGTTTAATAAAAGGTCTTGCAGCATGCAGAGGAGGATCAATCATTTGAATCCCCTCTGCTGGAAAGACTCCTCTAAAGCCGAGGTCTTCAAAGGGGTTGCGAAAGTTTTGGTTGATAGAATTTTTTTTTTTTTATATTCCACCCTGCAATTTTTTCCACTTATTGAAATGTCTTTAAATACACATTAACATGAATTCAACACACTATAGTAAACAGATAAATGGAAGCAGAAGATGTCTTTCAGTCATCAATGCACACATTCAGCGACACACAGCTCTTTCAAGCTGGGCACCATTTCATTCACAACACCTGTCCATTCAATGAATCAAATACTTTTAATAATCCCAGGATGAGATTTACTTTCTTTACATGACTCCATCTGTAATAAGAGTGATTATAGGACCAGTTTGATATAACACAATTTCATACAATATATATAATTCGGGCTTCCCTTCGACATCGGTTTGGGGGTCCTTAGCCTGGAAAATATTGAAGACCCCTGCTTTAAAGGTCAGTAGACTAAAGAATCAGAACTGATGTACATAATGTGACAGTTTCTTTTTTTTTTTTATTCACTAGGATTTAAAAGATTTGACAAAGAATTTTGCAGAAAATTGTTTGGAAGGAAAATGTGCAATAGAGCCAACAGCAGCCATGAAAGGATTTTGAGGAATAATACAAGAAAGGGGACCTTCACAAAGAGTAGTCAACATATCAAAAGCCTGCATGATGAACAATGCCAACCACCCAGAGATGAATTCTGGCTTCAGTAGTAGACTGAGGAGGAAAGAAAATCACCCTGTTGCCCAGTGTCCATAATACTCATCTGTTTTCTGCTCCTGTTGATCAACTGTGGTTCCTGAAGTCCAGTTAGCACAACAAATAATAACCACTGTGTCATTGTGCTTGATGGGCCAGCAAACTATTCTGGCTTAAAGCCCAATGAGTGGTGAGCTATTGTGAAGAGAAGAAGCTTTTTATTTTCTTTTACAAGAAATAAAAGCTTAAAATCTTTAACTCCAAGTAAACAAATCTATATAATTTGCGTTTCAGTTTGCACAATTACATTAAACATTTTCAAAGTATTAATGTTAAGCTGGTTAAAATGAAAGAAATATGTTCAATATTTTATGAGGAAAAATAACTATTCTCATACCTGGACAGTTTTGGCCTCTGATGATTATAACAGATATCAGCACTTAATCTCCAACCTAAAATATGAAACCAACAGCTAAAATTAGACTCTGAGCCACTTGTGTAATCAATAAAAGACCACCAGGTGGCAGTATACCGCAATTACTCATGAGCAAGTTCAAACTTTAATCCATGGGCCGAGGTTGGCTCACTTCTCACTCTAATACATATATTAAATCTTAAGTAAAGTCATTTTTTTTATTTGGCTTGAAGAAACAACAGCATAACTTCAGTAGCCTTTAAAAACTGTAGAATATGTCAGATTAGGAAACTGAGAAAAAGTGGAACTGAGTGACAATTGCTATTATGGATTTATTGTTTGGAGCCTACAGCAACGAGGTTAAAGGTCAAGTGAAGTTAAAAGGCCATATATTCAAGCAGCCCACCCACAAACACAGATACCATAATGGTGGAGGAAGGACCTCTGGCAACTGCAAATTACAAGTTTTACCCAATGTCTTGTTCTAAGACGAGATGATCAAACAATATATATATATATATTTAAAAAATCACTTTAGTAGTGTAAAGCCATAATTGAACCATTACTAAATGATATGGACAGTGGCTCACAGCCTTACAGAGGAGTTCACTTTTCTGACCACGTTTTTCTCTCAATGCTGAACCTGCTGAGCTTGAAACTGAACCAACAAATTAGCCACAGAGAATAAAACTGCTTGGATGCAGTTTCTCACTGGGGGTACTCCATTGTAATGTTTCACTGGATTCTGTGCGTTGGCTATATGGACGATTCCCTCTGTTATTTTATTGAGACGCTGGAATGCACACAGGAATGCCCCTAAGAGTGTTTGCTGACACTTGTGATCGCTCCGCTCTCAGATGAAGACAAAGATGGTTTGTTGGGGTTCACACAGTTCATTCTCCCCTGGGAAACACAGGAAGCTGTGAAGCCACTGCACAGCATATCCCACCACTCAGGACCTGAAGGGAAAAACTGAACTCCTGGTACTTCGATTTAAATTGTCCATATCTTTGATTTTTTTTTTCTTTTCTCCCAAATGAAAAATAAAAAAATAAAAAATGGAAACCACTATTACTGAAGTTAGTTATGCCTCTGTGTACATGATATGAACTTGTCCTACCTGATGTTGTGAAATGTGATGGTGCGTCCATCCAACAAGAATCTGTCTCAAATTACTGCATTTAGGCTGATTTTTACTTGTGTACCATGCGTAGCCGAGTTTTTGCTTTGCACTTAAACAACTCTGGTAAATTGCTGCAAAACAAAAAGCCATCAGTCAACAAAGGACGCCTGAATGAATGGCTCTGCAGCGCATAATGGCAAGCACATTCCATGATGACAGCATTTAGTCAGCTGGGATCTTCGCCCTGATGAGGGGCATAACATCAAGGGTTTCACTAGCAACGATGCTGTGAAAATAATCCAGCGGTGAAGACACCTGAGTAGTGCTCAGGTCAAGAGATTATTAGCTGACAATTCCTCCTAAATGAATATTCTCTCCTACAGGCTATATGAATGAAACAGTCCTCCATAGGCGATCAAAGGGATTGATCCTGTATCTTTCTAGAAAATAAGAATAATTAGATGTTTCTGTTTTATATGTATGACTGATTTTCACTGGATGGTGAATGAGTTGGAGGCCACAGTTTACTTAACTTTACATTGGTATGTCTGTGTCAATAGTGCTCTGCAGACAGACCAAGCTTGCCTTCCACAGCAGAGGCAAAATAACTTGTTTACTGGTGAGATTTCAGATGCAAAATAGTTTTTTACTAACTTTGATAAATTGAAAATATGCAAACTATTTCTTCCATCAGTGTCCCAAAACGGCAATGATTATTTGTTTATGATTTACTCTTCAAAATCCTTTTCTGAGAGAAATAAAATCAAAATTATAAGCCTTCTTCCTCCACAGACTGTTTTGTCAGGTAATTTATTGTTGCAGCATAATGTAAAATAAATCATCCACAGAGGATAAAGTAAAATTGTTGTTCACAATGTCACCTTTAAGCTTATGTGGCAACACATGAATGTATTTATTCCTGTTGCCAATGCAGCCATCTTCACCACCATGCAGCACACTGGGTGTAAACATAAAAAAAAAAGAATAAAATGGAATAAAACCATCTATATCTTTATAATCTATGTTATTCCCCTCTGGTCAACATCCCAACAATTCCAGAGCCCACAATTTGATTCTCCAAATGTACAATAAAAACCCCCAAAACACTTTAATATAGGAATAAAAAAGCATTGCTTAGATATATGTTACACTTCTCAGTCGGTAGGGCGTTATTGGATGAAGCCCTTGAAGTTGGCCCCCGTCCTGCCCTAAACCTTCTACTGAGCTGCGTCTGCTGCTTCCAACAATCTGGGTGTCTTTAAGACCCAGCGGAGTCGGGAGAGAAACCCCGCGGCTGGAGTTGTTTCTACTCTCCGGATTGTCAGCCAGTTATTTGCGGGTAGGCGCTGTAGCCATTTCGCCACATGAAAGCATGATGCGCTGAGCGACCAACATCCGAGGAGTTGGTGAAGGGAAGTCAGCTTTGAGAATCTCCGCGGGCGCGCGCACACATGCGAACCAACTCGCGCGTGATTACGCACGGCGCACGCACGCACACACCTCCTCCTCTTCCTCCGCGGAAAAAACAGTGAGAGAAAGAGGAGCAGAGTGAGAGGGTAGACCAACTTCCAACTCTCCCATGTGGAAAGCAGAGGTTTGCAGAGAAGGTGCATTTTTTCCCCTCTTCGGAGCTTTTTCCCACTCTGTCCCTCTCTTCCTCTGAGTGGTTTGCTTTTTTTCTTTCTCCCCTTCATCCCGGATATTTCCGTTTCTATGAGAGTCTTGCTCGGCGAGGAGAGAAGTTTGGTTGTTTGCCTGGTCGGCTGAGGAGAAGGTGGAGAAGAAGAATCTGGTGAGAAGTGGGGAAAGATGGTCCACAACGCCGCTTGGAGAAGGAGCTTCCTGTGCGTCCTGGCGCTCTGTCTCAGCTTTGCGTCCCCGCCGTGCAAAGCTCGGATTTACACGAACCACTGGGCAGTCAGGATAGCCGGCGGACCCGAGGTGGCCGATCGAATAGCGGATAAATATGGCTATAGGAACATGGGACAGGTAAGGCACAGACTGCGCTGGACAGAGTTCTGTCATTTATTCATGTTTTCTTCAACTCAAACAAGCGGGACGTTTAAAAAAGAAGGGTTAGAGTCTGAACCTGAAGCAGAATGCATCTCTAAACTCTAGCTGCGTCTCTCCGGACCTCAGACCAGGAGAGCGGAGCTGCAGGGAACCAGGAGTCAGGGAGCAGGATGGCACAACAGGTGCCTCCTCGCTGGGTTTCCACAGATTAATTCAGGGGACTCATGAAGCTGCTTTGAGCGTCGCTTCCAGCTGTCTGCTGTGTTTCTCCCCTCTGACTAAAACCTGAAGCAGGCAGAGCCGTTTGTCTCTGGACTCAGGACACCCACACTTCCAGAGTGACACTGACTAAACTTTTATACAACTTTTATGAGATACATTAAACTATGATGTTCCCATGGATAATTTTTTTATTCCTAATAAGCCATTTTATATGTATGTATATATAATGGCACAATATGTTCTTATGTTTAGTGTTTCTACTCCTCTTTATGTCATACACTGAGAAATATCTTATCAGATGATTTAACATATCTTCTGAAACCGGGTTTTTTCATTAATTTCAAACATAATTCTGTTTAAAATGTTGAATTACATTTAAATTATTTAGTTTGAGTCAATGCCAAAATATTTTATATCCTAAGAAGATTCACAGTCCTTGTGATTGACCGACATGGAAGTAATCATGTTTTTTTCTGAGTGCCAGAGTTCTTATTTAAATGTGATGGAGGAAGCTGAATATTAGGGTGATGGAAAGGAGGCCTCTTAACTTTACAGACTTAAAGCCTAACTCCATAGGTCAATTTAGGGAAAACATTCAAAACGCTGCTCTGGTATTAAAAAGAGTTTTCATTTAACACGCCCCCCCCCCCCC